GGGTTCCATAGTAGTGGGAACAGGGACTGCCTCTGCCATGAACTGATTGGCCTGCTCTTTGATCACCTCCCCCTGAAAGGAAAGCAGCCTTACCAGGCCACAGAAGATGACAATGCAGCCACTCCTGATGAGATCTGATAGACTAAGATCAGAAGGAAGGAGAGGGGGACCTCTCCTATCAGTGGACCTGGGGAGGGCCATGTTTAAGAAGGGGGAGGGATGGTGGGATTAGGAGGGGAGGAGGGAGGGGTTTATGGGGGATACAAAGTGAATAAAGTGTAACTAATAAAAGTTAAAAATAAATAAATAATTAAAAAAGAAAGAACTTAAAAAAAAACTATAACCTCAAGCAAAAAAAAAAAAAAAAAAAGAAAAAAAGAAAAAGAAAAAACGAAAGGTTGAAAACAGATGTTCAAGCACCACAGCTACTTAGTTAGAGACTTGGGTTTGTTGTCTACAACTGGGTGATTTGGAAGTTAGCATATGCAGCAGGTTTCTCGCCTCAGTGCCCTAGCTCCCAAACATTACTTTGCCTGTTTGTCTGAACTTAAAAATCATAAAAGAAAAAAATCTATATAGATGATATTTCTACCTAAAAGCTTAGGACAATGCTTTTGGGGTCTCATAGTAGGAAATTGGTTGTTAAACTTGTAGTTGTTAATTTACAGAGGTATGATGGGCTAATAGGATTAATGAAGAAATACTGAATTGTGCCTGATGAAGAAGAGGTATATATAAACACAGAGGCAGTCTCAAACAAAGGTGAGCTATTCCTATTGACTTCCCTTAGGTGCTATCAAGTCCAAAGAAAACTCGATTTTTCCAAATTCCAGAGGGCAAAAGTGATAAACGACTACCTGTGGTGCCTGTTAGCACACCAAAGTACACGCTGGTCACCAGGCTCTCTCAGTATTACAAGTACCAGTTACACTTTCAGAGTCTATGCTTTGTAGCTCCTTTTTTCTTTTTTTAATTAAATTTTTAATATTTTACATTAATTACATTTTATTCACTTTGTGTCCCTGCTATAGCCCCCTCCCTCATTCCTTTCCAATAACACCCTCCCTCTCTCATCTCCTCCCATGCCCCTCTCCAAGTCCACAGATAAGGGAGGTCCTTCTCCCCTTCCCTCTGACCCTAGTCTATCAGGTTTCATCAGGACTGGCTGTATTGTCTTCCTCTGTGTCCTGGTAAGGCTGCTTACTCCTTCAGGGGGAGGTGATCAAAGTGCCAGCCACTGAGTTCATGTCAGAGACAGTCCTTGTTCCTCTTACTAGAGAACCCACTTGGACACTGAACGTCCATGGGCTACATCTGTTCAGGGGTTCTAGGTTATCACCATGAATGGTCCTTGGTTGGAGTATCAGTCTCAGAAAAGACTCCTGGGCCCAGATATCTTAGTTCTGTTGCTCTCCTTGTGGAGCTCCCGTGTAGCTTTTTTTTTAATCTCCCCCCCACGCTAAACTCCCTTCATTTCATACCCTTCCCTCCTCACAGCAACTCGTTCTCCTTATAACCCTGCTATTTCTCAATATCTTTTTCATTGTGTGTTTTTTACTCTCTCATTCTCCCTCTGCCTTCCTCTCTCTCTCCCTACTCTGTTCCTGTTTCTCTCCTGGCCAGTTCCAGTCTGCCAGTTGTGCTCAGTCTACTTCTTTGTCTCTTTGTGCTCTTAGATGCCTCTGGCTGTTCCCTCTCTCATATATACAATACAAACCTTTCCTTAACTATACCATGCCATATTCATGGAGTAGTCATTTTGTCAGTGTTTACAGCTGTCTTTTTTTCTTTGATCATACTCTAACATTTACTCATCTGTAGTTTTAAAGGGAGTACAAAAATTAATCATAATTATTTTATCCAATTTTAGTCAAATTGGGCAGTGGATTATGTGTTTAACTACTTGGTCCTCCTACTGCCCTGCTGTATATAGTTTATCCTATCACAGTCAGTCTGAAGTGGGAGTTGGTTCATTAACTATTTACAGTCAGTGACATGCCATAAGCAGCTGTTGTAACTGAAAGAAAGCATATCACTATGACATGCACTTGTTCAGAGACCTCAGAAATGTTCCCTTAGGCTCTTGTGTAAGTCTGTAATGAGAACAGTGGCAGCTGAGAGTGTTGGCAGCTGTCTCTCCCAGAAAGGGGTTTCTGAGTCTCTATGAGTCTGGGAACATGTGGCTCTCAACAGGTGCCAGGACAGGACCCAGGACGAGTATCAGTGATCTAGAGCAGGTCTCCATATGCTGTTGCACATGTCATTCAGAATCCAAATCATTTATCTCTAACCTTAAAGTTTAAACAAACAAAACAACAAAAAAGTCTTTGATATTTAAAATGCTACAGTTTACAACTTAGCGGGTAAGATTATATAACAGATGGAGAGTAAGGGTGCAGGCCTTAAAGTACAAAACTGTATTTGCATCTGAACTCAAAAACATTTTATCATAATAATATATTGTTTCCTTTAGAAGTAAGTGAATATTGTGCCAATGAATTTTAGTTATATTGTAAAATCTGTATTCTGAAATTTGTTTAAAACATTATGATTGATCTTACCATAAATTTGAGAAGGGAAGCCTGTAATTTAGATGACTGGATTCTATGAAAGAAATGAGATTCCAGGGTAAAAGTTACAGAGCAAGTGAAAGAAATCCAATGTCATTTCTCCATAACTTTATTGCCTGTGATATTCCTTCTACTTTTCTACCTGAATTCAAAGGAAGAGTGAAAAGAATAAGTTTGGAAAACTGAGCCAAGTTTATGGTCATTCAGAAGTGAGGCCATGCATTATTGAGAAACACACAAAATTATCGGTCCTCTTTATTGTGAAATAAAGAAGTTATAAATCTGTTCAATTCTATCTATGCAGCTGTTTTGTAACTTCTAACATTGTTTTCATAAATATTGCTTTACTATGAAACAAAGACTTGGGAATTTAATAATTGTGGAAACAAATACCCAGACATTTTTCCTCAGCTGGGGAATTAACTCATTTCAGTGGTTTTCTCAGTTATCTGAAGGAATATCTAGAGAAGCATTACCAATAAACAAAACTGTGGTAATAGTTAACTCTTGGTTTCCTAGTGGACAAGAAAAGGAAGTTTCTGTCTGTAAAAGGAAGTTGATGGGCTAGAGGGGGAGCATACAGCTGAGCTGTTCAGGGATGATTTTCCCTTCCATCACCTTCTACTCTTCAGTGTAGTAAAATGGCAAGAATAGACCTCCTGGCTCCTCAGCACAGACAGCACTGACTTCTAAATGGTTCTTTCTGGAAATGCTCTTCTCCTGGAATCTGTTTTTTCTCCCTTGACTAAGAAAGATCAAGTGGAAAGATGCTCTCTGAGCATCATTTTAGCAAAAGGCCAAGAAATAGAGATGTGAAAACCATCTCTAAAACCAAGGTGAGCTGCATGGCTCTGTGGCCCATGGTGGGAGGCTTCAGTGGTTCCTTTGTCCCCTAGCTCCAGTCTCTAGAACTTGCTCCAATTTCACACTTTGGGGTCTGTGAGTTTTAACTTTTTATTAGTTATTCGTGAATTTCACATCATGCACCCCAATCTCATTCACCTCTCCCTCTCCTTATACCTACCCTCCACCCTTGCAACCTCCCTCCAACAGAGAAGTAAAAATCTCATTGTGAAAGCTATAGTGTGTCACACTGTGTCCCATGGTATACCTGTTTTGTTCACACATTTTTGCTTGCAAATGTTCATTGCCATGACTCATTGGTCTGGTACACAGCCTCTACTGGAACCTCACTGGGACTCATCTTAGATATCCTGTTGCTGCCCTGTGTCATGGAGATTCTGTAGTGTTGGATCTGTGGTACTGACCCCTTCATGCACTCCAGCAATTAATAGATGGGGTAGATGTTGGAGTGGGTCAATTAAAAACCCTGTATCTGGGCCCAAGAGGTATGTAAGCTGTTAGCCCATCTGCTCTCCTGCTCTTGGGCGCTTGGGGCCAGCTCACCTGCAACCCCACATCCAGGAACAGCTCTATTGTGCTGACTAAGACAGGTACACGGCCCACTCTCCTAAGTGCTACAGCAAGTGAGGGGCAGAAGCAGCTCTCCTACTCACTGGTGGTAAGGGCAAAAGGAGGGAGAACGGATCTCTCCCTTGCTGACTGCACAATAGACAAGAGGCAGGGTCTTCTCTCTCACACTCATGCCCTCCAGGCCTGCTTACCCAACACCCCATATCCAGGTTCCTCTCTACTGTGCTGCCCAGATAAGGTATAGAGCCTGCTTTTCTGAATACTGCAGCAGGCGAGAGACAGGGACAGATCTCCTAGTCTGAAGACCAGGGGTCAACTTTCCTGCCTCCCATAGGTAACAAGGAGTGACAGGGAAGGGGGCATCTTTCCCTCCACCACATCACCGCTTGGTAGACAAATGGTGGGGTCAACTATCCCACCCTCATATCCTCAGGCTGGTTCACTTGCAACTCCTGAAATGTACAGGACCCCCTCTCCCAAGTTCAGTAGCTATCTAAGGGTGACTCTCTCCTGGCACCATGCCCACAAGGCCAGCTCTCCCAGGATGCCCAGGGGAGGGGTGGGGCAGTTCTGCACAGTCCTCAGACATCAACATGTCCCTGGGGCGGCATTCCAGGCCAGGAACATCTGTCAGGCATTTGGTGGCAAAAGACCCTGTGGCTGCAGGGCAATGGACCCAGACATGCCCGCCATGTGACAGTACAGGGCAGGACTGCACCATGGTCAAAAGTGTTATCATCAACTACTCACATCAGGCTGTTCCTCACTACCCTCGAGTCTCCAGTTCTGCCTCTCTTTATTGTGCCCACATCTTCCTATTTCTCTTTCCTTTCCATTTCCCCACCACTTACTTGATCCTCAGGATCTCTGAGTGTCTGAGCTCTTTTCAGGAGTGGTCTCAGAAGTGCTATGCCCCACGCATGCATTATCATACCAGGCAAGGATCATCTTAGGCATCGTCTACCTACCCTATCCCACCCCAAGCCTTAGCAGTGCTGAATTAGGCTAATAATCATTCAGATGTTCATGGGTCTAAACACTGAGCATGGGCATAGCCTCTCTCCCCTCTGCCCCCTACTGATTCACATGTGACACCTCAGCCACACCTGCAGCACCTCAAGGGGAAGGAGGACTGTGTTTTAATGTGACTACACAGAAGAAGACCATGTTGTTCTATTTAGAAAAGTTAGTCAAAGTTCTACTCAATCAATCAATCAATCAATTCAGGACACTCCTGTTACTCTATAAAGTTTAGTTCCACTTAGGAAATCTGTTTACTTCTGCTTTTATGTGAAATATTGAGTCATTTTTAGTGTTTTATTTGTGACAATGGCACATGGCATTTTTAAAAAAGAAACAAAACATTTCTTTCTTTTGTAATTTTAATTTTTTTCTTCACAGTTTATTCATTATATATCCCAATTGAAGCCCTCACCCACAACTCTCCTCAGTCCCACCCTCCCTTCTTCTTCCCCCATCCCCTTCACCTAGTCCACCAAAATGGGGAGTTCTCCACTATTGCCATCTGCCCATAGCTTGTTAAATCTCATTAGCACTGCCAGCATCCTCTTCCTCCATGGCCTGGCAAGACTGCATCGGGGGCGGTGATCAAACAGCAGTCAACTGAGTTCATGAAAGAGGCAGCTCCTGCTCCCCTCACTCAAAGATCCACATGAAGACTGAGCTGCCAACAGACCACATCTGAACAGGTAGTCTGGATTCTCTCCATGAATGGTCCTCCGTTGGTGCATCAGTCTCTGCAAGACCCTCTGGGCTCAGATCTTACAGTTTTGTTGGTCTCCCTGTGGGACTTCTGCCCCCTCCATGTCCCTCTTTTCCCACCTCTTTTTTCCTCCATAATATTCCCTGTACTTTTCCCAAAGATTGGCCATGGGTGAATCATTTCAGAGGACCATCTATAGTAGGCCCACATCTGGTTTCCTGTCTTCCACCACTTCTGGTGTCTATCCTGTTTGCCATTCTGAATGAGATTTAAGCTTCCTCCTAGGGTCATCCTTAGTGTTTAGCTTCTTTAGGTCTGTAGATGGTTATCCAATATTATACAACTACTATCCACTTAAAAGTGAGTATATACCATGCCTGTCTTTCTGTTTCTAGATTATCTCACTCAGGATGATCTTTTCTAATTCCATCTATTTTACCTGCAAATTTCATGATTTCCTTATTTTTAATAGCTGAGTAGTGTTCTATTGTGTAGATTTACCACAATTTCTGTAACCATTGTTTTGTTGAGGGACATTTAGGTTGTTTCCAGATTCTGGCTATTACAAATAAAGTTGCTATGATCATAGTTAAGCAAACGTTCTCATTGAATGGCGGGCTATCTTTTGGGTATTTGCCCAGGAGTGGCATAGCTGGATCTTGAGGTAGTGCTATTCCCAATTTTCTGAGAAGGTCCCAAATTGATTTCCAAAGTGGTTGTACAAGTTTGCACTCCCACCAGCAATGGAGGAGGGTTCCCCTTTCTCCACATCCTCTCTAGCATGTGTTGTTACTGGAGTTTTTGATCTTAGCCATTCTGATAGAATGGAATCTCAGAATTGTTTTGATTTGCATTTCCTAACTACTAAGGATGTTGAGTATTTCTTTTTTTATTACCATTTATTATAATTAATTCAATTTGTATCCCGGCTCCCTCAACTCCTCCCAATCTTACCCTACCTTCCTCTTCTCCCCCTATGCCCCACCCACTGATAAGGAAGGTCCTCCCCTTCTATTTGACCCTAACCTTTCAGGTCTCATCAGAACTGGTTGCATTGTCTTCCACTGTGGCCTGGCAAGGCTGCACCCCTGAGGGAGAGGTGATCAGAGAGCCTGCCACTGAGTTCATGCCAGAGACATGCCCCTGCTCCCCTTACAAGGGACCCCACTTGGAGACTGAGTCTATGGGCTACATCTCAGCAGGGGTGTTAGGCCCTCTCCATGCGTGGTCCTTGCTCGGGTTATCATTCTCTTCTTTGTTGTTGTTTCTCTTTCCTTTTTTTTTTTTTTCTCTCTGTTGGTCTCCTTTTGGAGCTCCTGTTCCCTCCAGGTCATTCTATCTTCCCCCTTTTTTAAAAGATTTCCTGTACTCTGCCCAAAGTTTAGCTATGAGTCTCACCAACTGCTTCGATACCTTGATCAGCAGAGTCTTTCAGAGGCCTTCTGTGGTAGGTTCCTGTCTTGTTCCTTGTCTTCTCCTGCTTTCAATGTCTATCATTTTTGTCCTTCTGAATGAGGACTGAGCATCTTCTTAAGGTCTTCCTTGTTGTTTAGCTTCTTTAGGAGTATATATTTTACTGTTTTTATACTATATTATATAGCTAATATCCACTTATCAGTGAGTAAATACCATGTGTGTCTTTCTGCTTCTGGGTTACCCCACTCAAGATGGTATTTTCTAGGTCCCATCATTTGCCTACAAATTTCATGGTTTCCTTTTTTTAATAGCTGAGTAGCATTCCATTGTGTAAATGTACCACAATTTCTGTATCCATTCCTCCACTGAGGGACATCTGGGTTGTTTCCAGATTCTGGCTATGATGAAGAGTATTTCTTTAAGTGTTTCTTTGTCATTCTGTATTCCTCTGTTGAAGATTATTTGCTTAGCTTTGTATCCGATTTTTTAAATTGGATTATTTGGTTTGTTGGAGTCTAATTTCTTAAGTTCTTTTTATAGTCTGGATATTAGCCCCCTATCGGATGTAGGGTTGGTGAAGATCTTTTTCCAGTCTGTAGGCTGTCATTTGGTTCAGTTGACAGTGTCCTTTGCTTTACAGAAGCTTTTCAGTTTTACAAGGTCCCATTTATTAGATCTTAGAGCCTTAGCTGTTGGTGTTCTGTTCAGGAAATTGTTTCCTGTGCCAATTAGTTCGAGGCTCTTCTCCACTTTTTCTTCTAACAGAGTTAGTGTGTCTTGTTTTATAATTTATTATGTTTTAATTTACTTTGATTTTCATCTCAAGAATTATTTCAAATATCTATTTTGCTTTCCTTTCTAGATTCAAACTACCTTTCGTGTATTTATGGAAATGTTTATGTGTTGACTTATATATATTTAATTCACATCCATAGTAGCAATGCTGCTTATTATTCAGTTAATAACAATTTGGTGTTAGGCAGTTGAGCTGGTTCAGCAGGTAAAGGTGCTTGTTACCAAGTCTTGAAAATTTATTTTAATCCTCAAGGCTGAGGTGGCAAAAGGTCAAATTGTCCTCTGACCTCCACACATGTACAGTGGCAGGTACGACCCCCTCCCACAAAATAACAGAATGAAAAAGTCTGTGTATATGTTCATAAATGTTGATATGGAAGTTGCACTCATGAAACAAAGATCTTGAAAGCTTGATGAGTGGGATGTGGCCATGCTCACATAATATTTGCTTGTGAACTCTGTCCACATTGCTATAGTCACTTCAAGGGTCAAGGCCCTAGCTAAATCACTACCACAGTGAGTGGTAGTTTCTATTCTAGAAACTCTCTGAAAGAATTCTATCACTCTCAATAGATTAGTTTCATTTGTAAAATGTCAAAGATGTGAGAAATGGATGAATTAATGTGTGTGCACTCATTGGCCTCCATCTATCATTCTGCCTGGTTTGTGACTCAACTGGTTCACCAGAGAAGTTATTCTGCATTCATTCTTTAAGCCTTTGTAATGTGATATCTCTCTAGGCTTACATGATTGTTTCACTTTACATGCTCAGTTTAGAGATGGGCATACTCTGTGATTTCAACTCCCCAGAATAAGCCAGAGCATGTGAGTACCGAGGGTTATTATGGAACTAACTCTGTAACCAAAACATTTGGTTAGTTGCTATGACAGCGTAGTATCCAAGTGGGTTCCATAGTAATGGGAAGAAGGATTGCCTCTGACATAATCTGATAGGCCTGTTCTTTGGTCACCTCCCCCTGAGAGGAAAGCAGCCTTACCAGGCCATAGAAGATGACAATGCAGCCATTCCTGATGGGATCTGATAGACTAAGATCAGAAGGAAGGAGAGGAGGACCTCACCTATCAGTGGACTTGGGAGGGGCAAGCGAGAAGAAGAGGGAGGAAGGGTGGAGCTGGGAGGGGGAGGGAGGGGCTTATGGGGGATACAAAGTGAATAAACTATAATTAATAAAAATTAAAACATATAAAAAGTGAAATACCTTCAATATTAAATGCCAATATTTTATACTCTATCAGCAGACTAATGACTTCTTTTTCTTTGGGTAACATTTATCAGGACCCTGATAGTGCATGGCACACGACACTCATTCTGGTGTACAAACCCCATTTCAGTATTTCCTAGTTTCCTCTCGTTTGTCTAAGAAGTTTTATTTATTTTTCATAAAGAGACATGCTAGTATATTATATTTTAAAATAACAGTAAATAAGTAAAAGCTAGTGTCTAATATGTGACTTTTAGTAATGAAATTACTTAGTACAAATTAACACTGCTGAATTTGAAATGCTACATCCTAGAATCAAGAATTCCTCAAATTGTCTGATATTTATCTTACCCAAAGAACAGCAAATAAAGGTTTGAATTTTCTGTGGAAAAAAAAAAAAAAGAAAACTTAAGCTGAGAACATCTCCAAAATATGAATACTCCATTCATTATAGAGTGACTGTGGGAGCTATGAGAAGGTATTAGTGTTACCCTCCTGGTTCCCATCTCTGTCTTTCTCAGACATCTCTAGTTACAGCTGTATTTGGACAGTTAAGTATTTTTGATCCCTACATGGGCCAAAGATATAAAATGACAACCAAGACATGGCATTTGTGCATTGGCTCTGGGATGTCTCCGTAATGTGAGCGATCTGTCCCCATATGAATTTCCTGTGCCTCCAGTTATCTTTGCTCTTGGGCAATGGCAAGGATTGTATTTGTCTTCCTTCCTCCCAGGAAAGCCTCTTTTTGATTGAAGTGCAGGATGATAAAAAGGTGCATATCGTAAACAGTGTCCCAACTCACTGAATGAGTGAGCAACATGCCCAAGGACACATTCATGCACCTCTTATGCCCAACACTGTGCCAATTACAAATGCCAACAAGTAAGTGGAATGAATGACACAGAAGAAAATATCAAATAGATTCTTAAGTACAGATATATAGACAGTAAAGGCAAAGGCATAGCTCC